GGTTATTTTAGGGCTGCTCCTCAGCCATGGGACAGGACGCCCTGGTTTACTGTCTTGCCCCCGCTGCCTGTCTGCTCAGTAACATAGGTCAGCAGCAAAGAGGCAGGGGCTGATGAGGCCCCTGTGAAGACCCCAAAGTCCCCCGTGTCCAGCAGGTGAGCAGGAACTCAGCAGCTGCTGCAGGCCCGGCCTCTCCCAGCAGGAGGCGCTGGTGCCCTGGGCCAAGCCAGACCCTGGAGGGATCAGGATGGAGTTGCCTGTGCCAGTCCTGGCCATTTGGTCCTCAAATGCCCCCTCCCCCCATGAGGCCCGCTCCGTGGCTGGGACCGATGGCAAGCGCCTAAGGTGGAAAAAGGAGGGGGAGGCATGAGTGAGCCATGCAGCTGGGGGAAGTCCAGAGATTGCACAGAATGGCTAAGAAATTCCAGGACTCCTGCTTCCTGCGGCTGCTTTTCCCAGCAGGAGGAAATGCAGATATGCTGGAGAGCGAGCCCTTGCCATGCACAGCCATGGAGGGGAGGGGGCAGCTCAGGCTCCGGTCCCCTGTGTTCTGGGAGGTGAGCTGGCTGGGAGCTATGGGGAGATGGAATCCTGCCCTAGATCCCGACGTGGGATCCAAGTACCCCTCACCTCAGCGACAGGTCAGTTCTTGGTTCTTCCCTTCCCGGCCCAGACTCTGTAACGGACTGGATTGGACCTGCCCCAAACAGGGGAAGGGGAGCAGGTGAGGCGAAGGCATAAAACGATGCAGGGAGGGAGAGGATTTGGCCTCTCTTCATATAATTAAACCCACGCCAGTTACCATGACAACAGTGCTGCAAAAAACCCACCCCATATTAAAACAATAGTAAAAGAATAACCCCAATTCCCCCGCTCCTCCCCACCCCGGGCAGGTGCATTTACATAGTTACTCCACCCACGGGGCAAGGTGTCCCCGTACCAAGGAACCAAGCCAGCCTGGGGGGAGGGGGGAATTGATGGGGTGGGGGGCCAAGAGCAGAGCTGCCCCACACCCCAGTGTACTGGTCTCCCCAGCTTGACCTTTACACCGGGGCAGTGGACAAGGTGACTAACCATGAAGGGTCTGACTGTGACGCGGGTGCCTGCGAAGTGGGAACTCACTTAAGACCCCCCAAAACCATTCCGCACCCCAGACAGGGACGACTTTGGGTCACTCCTGACCTGGGGCTGGGGTCAGGAGTGACCCTGTGCCCCATTCCCCACCCCCATGAGCCAGCCAGTCTGAACTCAAGGCTGCTCGCTGCCTGGCAGGGGAATGCCTGTGTCACAGAGTCCCTGGGCGATGCTCTGGAACTGCTTCCCATGAAGCCAGTCAGGACTCTGGGGAAGTCTCCTCCCTGGGAGCAGCCTGTCTTCAGGACACGAAGCTCACACACCATCCACCTTCCTGAGTCTGACCTCGGAGCATTCAGCCTCCTCTGCCCCTCCGTGCGCTTCCCACAGCGAGTCCGCCCAGGCGGGGTCCTGGGGCAGCCAGAGGGTCCTGCCCCACAACTCCGCAGTCAGACGGGACTCTCAGCCAGCCAGTAAAACAGAGGTTTATTAGATGACAGGAACATGGTCTAACACAGAGCTTGTAGGTGCAAAGAACAGGACCCCTCAGCCAGGTCCATTTTGGGGGGCAGTGAGCCAGACAACCACGTCTGCACTTCACTCCACGTCCCAGCCAGCCCCAAACTGAAACTAAACCCACCCAGCAGGTTCCCTTCTGCGGCCTCTCTTCACATTCCTGGGCAGTGGTTTCAGAGTAACAGCAGTGTTAGTCTGTATTCACAAAAAGAAAAGGAGGACTTGTGGCACCTTAGAGACTAACCAATTTATTTGAGCATGAGCTTTCGTGAGCTACAGCTCACTTCATCGGATGCGCTACAGCTCACTTCATCCGATGAAGTGAGCTCTAGCTCACGAAAGCTTATGCTCAAATAAATTGGTTAGTCTCTAAGGTGCCACAAGTCCTCCTTTTCTTTCTGGGCAGAGGTGTCACCTCCCCCTCCCCCTCCCGGCTCAGGTGACAGGCTCTCAGGTCTCCCATCCCCAGGGCACATTCTCAGGTCAACACTCCCCTCTCCCTGCTGCGTCACATCGTCACAGCCTGACACCTGGTTTGCCAGCTCCAGCCCTGCCTGCCCGGGGCTCAGCGCAGAAGGGGGCTGAGTGGGTTCCTAGTGCTTTGCAGGGCCAGCCAGCGACAGCCACCAGTATTGTTAATAACGGACACAGCTGAGCCCCGGCCTCAAACCCACCTGCCTCCCTCTCTGGGCTTCATGGCTCTCAGCTGCAGGACAGCCTGGGGCCCTGAATCCCCCCACCCCCGACACACACACACTATGAGACACCCCCCGCCCCATTCTGCATGGGCACTGTGCTTTCTGCTGCCTGTCCTTTGTCAAGCACCTGCAATGCCAAAGCATCCACTTGCTTGGGACAGGGCAGTGGGGTGGAGAGGCGCATGGCCAGGGGTAGGGTGACCGGATCTCCCGATTTTACAGGGACAGTCCTGACTTTGCAAAAAGAAAAGGAGTACTTGTGGCACCTTAGAGACTAACCAATTTATTTGAGCATGAGCTTTCTCTTATATAGGCTCCTATTACCCCCCACCCCCATCCCGATTTTCCACATTTGCTGTCTGGTCACCCTAGCTGGGGGGCCCTTACAGACATCTCTGTAGGGCGCGAGAGACGCTGATCCCCCCTTGAGAGAGGAGATGAGCCTCCGCCAAGGTTACATCGTGAGTCAATGGCCGAGCCTTGAGTAGAACCCAGGAGTCCTGGTTCCTGCCCCTGTTCTAACCACTAGACACAGCTCCCTTCCCAGAGCAGGGTACAGAATCCTCTGCTCTAACCACCGGGCAGCATTCCCCTACCAAAGCATGGGAAGAGAACCCAGGAGTCCTGGCTCCCTGCTCTGACTTGCTAGCCCAGGCTCCTTCCCACCAGGGAGCTCTGGAACTGGACATTACTGATATTTTTGGATCCTTGGCCCCTGCTGGCGTCTGCCCTGGCCGGGAGCCCTCTGTGCCCATGGTGGAGCTGGCAGTGCCCGGGATGTGGAGCTGTGCTCTGCAAGGCTTGGCACTGGGCTGGTTCCAGCAGCAGCTGATGCTGACACCCCAAAGCTGGGTACCAGGGCTCCCAGCGCCACCATGGGAACAGGCTCCACCCAAAAACAGGAAGAGGCTGGCAGCATGCGAGGGGAGTGGCAGGTGGGGGAGGGATGTCCAGGGGGGCTGGACCGGACAGTGTGTGTCCAGGGGGAGGGCGGGCTTGCAAGTGCAGGGACGCCCACAGGTGGGAAAGGGGCCTGGAGCCAGGGGGGCCAGGCTGCATGTGCAAGGGGTCAGGGAAGTGTTTCCTCCTCCCTCTCCTGCTCCCTCTCCCCTGCAATCCCCTTCCCCAACCCCCTCCCCCCGCTCCTCTGAAATCCCCTTCCCCAACCCCCTCTCCCCACTAACCCCTCCCCCACGAACCCCTTCCCCAACCCCCTCTCCCCACTAACCCTTCCCCCACTATCCCCTTCCCCAACCCCCTCTCCCCACTAACCCTTCCCCCACTATCCCCTTCCCCAACCCCCTCCCCCACGAACCCCTTCCCCAACCATCCCCTTCCCCAACCCCCTCCCCCACGAACCCCTTCCCCAACCCCCTCTCCCCACTAACCCTTCCCCCACTATCCCCTTCCCCAACCCCCCTCCCCTGCAATCCCCTTCCCCAACCCCCTCCCCCACGAACCCCTCCCCTGCAATCCCCTTCCCCACCCCCACCCCCACACCCCCCCCCTGCAATCCCCCCCCCCCAACCCCCCACCCCCCACTAACCCCTTCCCCCACTATCCCCTTCCCCCAACCCCCCCCCCCTCCTCTGAAATCCCCTTCCCCAACCCCCCTCTCCCCACTAACCCTTCCCCCACTATCCCCTTCCCCCAACCCCCTCTCCCCACTAACCCTTCCCCCCAACCCCCCCCCCCCCCTAACCCCTCCCCTGCAATCCCCTTCCCCCAACCCCCTCCCCCCGCTCCCCTGAAATCCCCTTCCCCAACCCCCTCCCCCACGAACCCCTCCCCTGCAATCCCCTTCCCCACCCGCCACCCCCACGAACCCCTCCCCCTGCAATCCCCTTCCCCAACCCCCACCCCCCCACTAACCCTTCCCCCCACTATCCCCTTCCCCAACCCCCTCCCCCCGCTCCTCTGAAATCCCCTTCCCCAACCCCCTCTCCCCACTAACCCCTCCCCCCACGAACCCCTTCCCCAACCCCCTCCCCCACTAACCCTTCCCCCACTATCCCCTTCCCCCAACCCCCCTCTCCCCACAACCCTTCCCCCCAACCCCCCCCCCCCTAACCCCTCCCCTCAATCCCCTTCCCCAACCCCCTCCCCCCCCCCAAATCCCCTTCCCCACCCCCACCCCCCACCAACCCTCCCCCACTATCCCCTTCCCCACCCCCACCCCCCACAACCCTTCCCCCCACTATCCCCTTCCCCAACCCCCTCCCCCCGCTCCCCTCAACCCCTTCCCCACCCCACCCCCCCTAACCCCCTCCCCTCAATCCCCTTCCCCAACCCCCTCCCCTCAATCCCCTTCCCCCCTATCCCCTTCCCCCAACCCCCTCCCCCCACAACCCCTTCCCCAACCCCCTCCCCCCCAACCCCTCCCCCAATCCCCTTCCCCAACCCCCTCCCCCCCTCCCCAAACCCCTCCCCACCCCCACCCCCACTAACCCTTCCCCCACTATCCCCTTCCCCACCCCCACCCCCCCAACCCCTCCCCTCAATCCCCTTCCCCAACCCCCTCCCCTGCAATCCCCTTCCCCCACCATCCCCTTCCCCAACCCCCTCCCCCCGCTAACCCCTCCCCTGCAATCCCCTTCCCCCACTATCCCCTTCCCCAACCCCCTCCCCCCGCTAACCCCTCCCCTGCAATCCCCGCAGTCGCCGCGCCCGCCGGGTCCTCCAGGCGCAGGGGTCGCTCTCTCCCGCCCGGGGCCTCCCTCTTCCCCAGAGCGGCCGCTCGTCAGCGCCGGTGCCTCAGGGGCCGCCCCGTCCAACGGAAGCGGCTGTTGCTAGGAGACGGGGGACGCGACTTGCTCCAGGGTGGGAGGAGCAAGAGGTACCGCGGGGAGGGGCCCCTGGGGGCAGGGGGCCATGTGGGGGCACCAAGGGGGGGGACGGGGCCATGGGGGGAGGGGGCCCTGGGGGCAGGGGGTTGTGGGGGGCAGAGGGGGGACGGGGCCGTGGGGGGGGGGCACCAAGGGGAGCCGGGGGGGCCATGGGGGGGAGGGGGCCATGGGGGGCACCAAGGGGAGAGGGGGCCCTGGGGGGAGGGGGCCGGGGGGGCACCAAGGGGAGAGGGGGCCCCTGGGGGGAGGGGGCCATGGGGGGCACCAAGGGGAGAGGGGCCCCTGGGGGAGGGGGGCCGTGGGGGGCACCAAGGGGAGAGGGGGCCATGGGGGGAGGGGGCCCCTGGGGGTAGGGGGCCGTGGGGGGCACCAAGGGGAGAGGGGCCCCTGGGGGGAGGGGGCCGTGGGGGGCACCAAGGGGAGAGGGGGCCCCTGGGGGGAGGGGGCCATGGGGGGCACCAAGGGGAGAGGGGGCCATGGGGGGAGGGGCCCCCTGGGAGCAGGGAGCCATGGGGGGCACCAAGGGGAGAGGGGCCCCTGGGGGGAGGGGGCCGTGGGGGGCACCAAGGGGAGAGGGGGCCCCTGGGGGGAGGGGGCCATGGGGGGCACCAAGGGGAGAGGGGGCCCCTGGGGGTAGGGGGCCATGGGGGGAGGGGGCCGGGGGGGGGGCCCCTGGGAGCAGGGAAGCCATGGGGGGCACCAAGGGGAGAGGGGGCCCTGGGGGGAGGGGGCCATCTGCAGGGAGAGGGAGGGTCCTGTGCTGTGTGGGGGGCACCCCCCTTGGCAGCATCTCACCGGGCTCCCCCCCAGCCCAGCAGCCATGCCGAAGAAGGGGCGCAAGGCGGCCCCCCTGAGCGAGGAGGAGCAGTTGCTGCTGATGCAGCAGAAGATGCTGGCGGAGGAGGAGCTGAGCAAGAAGAAGGAGGACATGCTCACCCAGTTCCTGAAGGCGAGGCCCGGGGCGCAGGCGGGGCACCCCGCTCCAGGGCCCGGCCGTTCATCCCAGCTTCTTGCCAGCTGCCAATTGCCCCCTGGGCGCCGAGCTGGAACCTGGAGCTGGGCAGGAAAGTGGCCGGGGCGGGGGGGGGGGAGGCATTTGATAGAAAATGTCGACTTTGGGGCCAAAAATCAAAATCCTACAATTTTGCTTCTGAAACACTCCCCCCCGCCCCCAGTGCTCAAGGGAGCTGTCGCTCTGGTGCCTCGTTCTCCCGCGTGAGCCGGGCTCTCCCCTCGTAACGCGGACCCAGTGTGGTACGTGATGGGTGTCTCTGTCAGTCCTTCTGTCGCACGCTGCTGGGAGATGGCGAAGTCTCTGGAGCTTGCCCAGCGCTTTGGCCTGCAGATTCCGCTTGAGCTAGTTATATACCTGTAGGTCAGGGGTTCTCAAACTGGAGGTCGGGACCCCTCAGGGGGTCACGAGATTATTACATGGGGGGTCGTGAGCTGTCAGCCTCTACCCCAAACCCCGCTTTGCCTCCAGCATTTATACTGGTGTTAAATCTATAGAAAAGGGTTTTTATTTATAAGGGGGAGTTACACACGGAGGACTGCTCTGTGAAAGGGGTCACCAGTAGAAAAGTTAGAGAAGCACTCCTGTAGGTGGTTGGCCTGTGCTCCCACCCAGCCCCTGTAACCTTGTGACCCACCCCGCAGGACAAGCTGGCGAAGGAGGAGCATAACAGCACCCTCAACATGAATAAAATCAACCTGCAATGGCGCACAGTGCTGCGGGAAGTCAAGGCCAGAGAACTGCGCAAGGACATCGAGATCCTGAGCCAGACCTTTGAGCGGGTGGTGGACTGCAAGGACAGCGTCATCCGAGTAAGCAGCAGGGGTCCCGGCTGGATGAGCTGGGAGGGGGGTGTAGCTCTGTGGGCCCATGAACGGGGCTGGAAGAGTGGCTAGCAATGCCCCCCCCAGGGGAGGAAGTGCTGCAGGAGGGCAAACACCCTCAAACCAGGGTTCCATGCACCCTGCAGCCCTTGCTGCCGCTGAGCTTGCTGGGGCCAGGGAAGCTGCACTCAGAGGCTCTGCACTGCTGCACTCAGAGGCTCTGGGGCCGGCGCTGCAGTGCCCAAGCGTTCTCTGTCGTCCGTACAGTCGCTGGCCAGGGACCTGTCTGAGGCAGAGGCGCAGTACACTCATGCCCTGTGCAGCCACCTGCACAACATCGACCAGTTGCTGCAGCTCCAGGGGTGCCGCCTCGGGTACCTGGATGAAGATTACAACACTGAGCTGGAGGCCCTGAAGAAGGAGTTTGAGACAGAAAGGTACCAGGGCAGGGGGAAGGATTGCCTGCTTTGGGGGAGGACACAGGCAGGCAGGTGATAAACACAGGGATGGGGAGGCAGCTTGATGGTGCCCCAGAGCCATGAGCCCTCATCCCTGGCCACGAGGCTCTTGTGCTGAGCCCCAATTGCAGCCCCACTGTGGAGCAGCTCCCCAAAGCTCTCTGCGTAGCCATCAGCTCCAAGGACTATCAGCTGCTCTCCCTTCCCCTCCGCGTGCCATGCTGACTCAGCCCTGGCGGCTCACCTGCGGCTTCCCCAGGAGGATGATCATCGAGCACCATGACAAGGAGAGCCGCTACCTGCAGGACGTGCTGCTGGCCCTGGAGCAGAACTTCAGTGAGAGCGAGTACGAGGCCAAGCTGGACTTCCAGAGCACCAGGGACGACGTCAAGAACAAGGTCTGGGCTGAGGCTGCTCCATGCCAGCCTGGGGCAGGGGAGAGGTTTGGTGACACCAGCCTTCCTCTGGTTCTTCAGCCAGCAGTTCGTGGCTGACTCTGGTGAGGAGCCCCTCCTCTTCACACTCTTATGTGTGCAGGCCTTGCTAAGGCACAGGGTATGGGCAAGAGTCCATCTCTACCACAAGGTCCTTCCCACTGCCAGCTTAGGGGCTGCTGCCCAGTCTCAGTGGGACCAAAGGCAGGGAGCTCCCCTCCTGAGGTTTGGGTTCCTGCCCTTGGGGTGGGCTCTGCAGGCATGGCTGGCCTGGGGAGTCAGGTGGCTCAGGGTGGCTGAGGAGCTAACATATGTCTCCCCGCAGAACCTAGAGGAGAAGCACTATCTGCGTGTGCAGCTGGAGGGCACAGTGGAGGAGCTGTGGAAGCGGTTCCAGCAAGCGCTGAAGAACTACACTGAGGCAACAGAGGACCGGAAGATTGCATTTGAGGCCCTCAAGCTGAAGGATGAGAAGAGCTCCAAGGAGATTGAGATGCAGATGAAGAAGCTGCTGAAAATTCAGGTCAGTGAGGCTGCCCCACCCCAAGCCCTGGCTGTAGGGAACAGGCCTTCTTGGGGGGTCATGGGATTCCCTGTGTGCTGAGCTCCTCACTGACTGCTCTGGGCACCATTTCCCTGCCAGGACTCCATTGGCATCCTGAAGGGCAAGATCACGGCACACATGCGGGAGGCCGAGGAGCAGAACCGGCACGTGCGAGAGGAGAAGGAGGTCGTGCTCAAGCAGCTGCAGAAGCTCAAGAGCCAGATGAACCAGACCAGGGCCAAGGCCAGGAGCAACCTGGCCAAGCTCACCCTGGAGAGCAGCACTGCCCTGAAGAAGCTAAGGGGCATCATAGAAAAGGTAAAGGCCAGAGTTCCCTTAACCCTGCAGGAGGGGCCTCTGTCCTGCCCTCCCATGCATACCTGGAGTAGCACTGGCCAAATGCAGCTCACAGCTGCCCCTGTCCAGGACAGACAGCAGACAAGTCCCAGCCCTGCGGCCCGGCTCACGGGAGACTCGCTTCCCCCAAACCCATTGTCCCTTCCTGGCCCCAGGGAAACACTTCTCCTGCCGTCCCTTTGGGTTGTCAACACAGTCCAGCATCCTCCAGGAAAAGCGTCCCTTCCTGGTGTCCAGAGCACGCAGCCATTCTCCACTGCTCGCCGAGCTGTCCCCAACCGGCCCGCTAAGGCCTCGCTTGCCCCACAGGCAGAGCTCACCCTGAGGCTGGCTGAGATGTGTCGGAAGCTGGAGACCGAGGAGGAGAAGGTGCTGCCATTCTACGCCTCCTCGCTGAGCAGGGAGGAGCAGGAGGAGGTGGAGCAAATCTCCCTGGAGAAGCCTGGGGAGCAGCTGGCCCGGGTAAGGGGTGAAAGTATTTGGCCTGGTCCTGGAACCCTCCCTCCCCATCAGGGTGCTGAAAGGAGGGCGGGGGCCCAGATGCTGGGGGCACCAAGGGCAGGCTGGCATAGCTGGTGGAGAGCGTGTGCCACACCGGGTGGCTGGGGAGAAGGTTGCTGAGAACCGTGCACTCTTTAATTGAGGGGACAAGCAGAACTAGATGGGGTACATTGTGGGAGCTTCCCCCAAACCAGCGCTGCCCCCCCTCAACTCCCCTCTGCCCTTTCCAACTGCAGCTGATGCAGGACTACCTGGGCCTGGAGCACTTCTGGCAAAGGTACAACAAGGTGAAGCTGGAGCAGCTGTCTCTGGAGCGGGAGAAGGCAGTGCTGCGCCAGGAGAACCAGAAGCTGCGTCTGCTCCTCAAGCAATACCTGGACGGGATCTCGGTGAGCGATGAGGTGCTCAGCCAGCTCAATCCACTGCTCATCCTCAGCCACAAGCCCCATGCGCCTGGGCCCGCTGGCAAAGCCCCCTGCAAACGGCCCCTTCACAATGTCATCGAGGCTGCCCACGAGGTGCCACACATCCTGTGAGCCGCCCACCTGCCCAGCCCAGGCCACGCTGGGAACTGCGCTCTGCGAGCTGTGGCAGCTCGTGCCTGGTGCGTGCAGCTGGGAGAGTCGGCCGTGAGGAGCGGCGAGCGCTTCCCCAGCGGTGCTGTCCCACTTGCTGGGGAAACTCCGTGCCCGTAGGAAGCTGCCATTAAAGGGTTGAACTGATCGTAGTGGTGACGCCTGACAGGGAAGTGTAGGGGAGCCGAGGGCCATCCAGGCACATGGCTCTACCCCAGCGTTGCCAAGCCAGGCTGGTAACCCTGGTGCAGCTCTGCAGCCTCCAGGCCAGGCCCTGCCCCAGGGAAGCATAGCCCTGGGATTGCCTGATCCTGGGAAAGGGCAGGCAGGTGGCCACTGTGAGCAGGATGCCTTCACTCTCCTGCCCTGTCTAAGTCCTGGGAGCTGGCTTGGCCCCAGCCTTGCCCTGCAGGGTTCAAGCTGGTCCTGCTGCTCCAGCCCCCCTTCAGGAGGGGACCAAAGCGCTTCCCCCACACCCTCTTCCCCAGGGACCCTGACAAAAGCAGCCACAGAGCAGGTGCTGACACTGTGGGGAGGGGAGGTTTATTTCTTTTTGGCCTTGTTTCTCTTCTCCTCCTTGAGCCTCTTCTTGGCCCCCCGGGAGCTGCTGGCCTTGTGGTAGAGGTGGTAGCCAATCAGGCCCAGCAGAGCCGGGATCAGCCCGATGCAGAGCAGGGGCAGCACGTCATTCGCCAGCTTTTGCCAGTAGCTGGCCTGGGAGAGGCCAACCAGCTCCACGTCGAACTGCAGCACGGCGTCGGCTGGGGAGAGAGGGGGAACAACTGAGCTGGGCTCTCCCACACACGTGGCAGAGGTGGGAGTGGTCCTGGCACAGGGCATGTGGTCAGTGCCCAAGCTTCTGGGAGGGCACCAGACAGCGCTGCTCCCCTGGAGCAGGGCACCCGCACGCTGCCCCACCCAGAGCAAACCAGAGGCAGCTGCAGCTCTGGGGAGTCCCAGCCCTGCCACGTCAGCTCCGGCAGCCTCTCCAGGCAGGCCAAGGACTGAAGGGGCTACAGGGCCGAAGCTCCCTTGCTCCTTGGCGGGCCGTGTGGGGCACAAGGTCCAGCTCCGGGGCTGTCCATCAGCCTGGCACTGAATTCACCAGGGAGCAGAATCTGTAGCAGGTGTTGCTGGGTAACCAGAGGGCTGGGGGGACCTAACAGCAGCCTAGTGCTCTCTGCCCTGGAGGGGGGGGGGGGGGGGGACACGGACGGACACGACACCAGGGCATGGCTCTGAGACTCAGGCCGATGAAGGAAGTTCCCATGTCCAGCGAGGCTGGGTAGACAAGGAGGCGGCAGTTACCTGGGACAGTAGGCGGGGATCCTCGCTTGCCGTAAGCCAGCTGAGGCGGGATGATCACCCTCCGCTTCTCCCTGCCAGGCAGAGGGAGAGGCACATCAGAGCGAGGGCCCAACCTTCTGCCCTTTGGCAGCATAGCCACAGCCCTGCCGTTTGCACGCAGCATCCCCTGCCCAAGGCATCCCATCCAGCAGGGAAGTGCGACCACAGCACAGGACCAGAAGTGCCTAATGCCGCATCAAACTGAAATTGGGCATGGGTAGAACGTAACCGACAGAGCTGAGCGGTGGGCAGGATGCTGAGGGTACCAGCCCATGTCTGAGGAGATGGGCCTGGAGGTGTTTGAATAAACAGAACGCGTTCGGGCCTCCTCTCCAAGGCAGCACGTCCAGCAGCAGGTGGTTGGGGGGCACTGGCTCAGTGACTGAGAGCAGCTTCCTGCGAGGTTTCACATCCAGCCCCTGACCCGATCCAGCCCTGGGTGGTCTAGTGTCAGAGCCGAATGCTCATCTCCAAGTGCTTGCAGGCCTGTGGCTAAATCCCAACCAGGTGCACCTGGCTGCAGAAACCCAGTCCGCATGAAGGGAGCTCCTTGCCCCTGCCCCCAGCGGGCAGCCCAGCCCAGAGGGCAGGCAGAGAGCCCCTTCCTGCTCCAGGAGATGAACACACACCAACAGCCAGGCCCCAGGCCCAGCTTCCTGGAGAGAAAATGCAGATGCAGCAAAGAGCTGGGCCCCCCGCCTAGGCTCTGACCTGATTTTTACCATGTTTGTGTCTCCAGCCCCCCGCCCACTCTGCTGATCCAGCCCCATGGGAAGCCCCATACCGGGAGCAGAAGGGGAGTGCCGAGGATCCCCATCTTGTCTATTGCTTTGGCGGAGAGCACTGACCCAGGATGCCTCTCCCGAGCCACACCACTCTTGCTAGCAAGCCAGGGCCTCACTTACCCAACGCACATGTCTAGCAAGCTTTGCTCCAAGCCTGGGAGGAGGGAAAAACCACAGAAGAACAGACAGATCAGGGGGATTCTCTGAAAGGCTTCCCACCCTCCTGGATGACAGGGCCACTTTGGGATCGCTCATCTTCCCACCCCCTATCCCAGGAGGCCTCCCTTCCGAGCCCCCGACCCCGCTGAGCTCCGGCAGGCTCACGGCACCAGGGGTTAAGCCACCAAAAGCTGCAACAAGGAGCCAGTGACAGCACAGGCCGGAGTGCCAGGGAAGTGGGAGCCAAGGGTCTGGAAGGTTCTGATCATTCCGCCAGGTAACAAGAGAAGCCTCCCAATCGGAGCCCGGGCCAAGTTGGGGAATTCCCAATACTCCCCCCCAGCCACCCCCAGACCCTGCTGAACGTCGACAAGGGCTGGACTTGGGTAGGGGGGAAGAGAGATTCTGGCATGCAACACCAGAGCAAGGGCCAGTGGCCCCTTCACAGACTCACTGCATGGCTGCGGAGTGGCCAGGCAGGGGAACATGTCAGTGCGTTCCAGGGGGCAGCTGGATCGGATCAGTGCAGGGGGCCCGTGGGGCACCTGATCCTTCCAGCAGCCGCCAACAGAGACCAGCCAGAAGAGACTCCTGCACCTTCCACTGCAATTAGTATGCCAGTAGTGCCTAGAGGCCCCTGGCGCGCCGGGTGCTGTACATGCCCTGACTGAGAGCAGGGGCCCCCATCTTGCTGGGCACTGCACAGGCCCCACCAAGATCGGGGGGGGGGGGAAATCACTGCACAGGACCGAACCAAGATCAGGGGGCCCCCATTGCTGCACAGGCCCTGACTGAGAGGGGGCCCGTCACGTCAGGTGCTGCATCGGCACAAATGGAGACAAAGTCCCGGCCCCAGGAGCTCCGGCTCTGTGCAGACATGGCAAAGGGCGAGAGCCGGGCATGGCTTCTCGCAGGTGGGGGAAAAGGCCCAAAGAGTTTAAGTGACTCGGCCAAGGGCACGCACGGAGTCGATGGCAAAGGCAGGAACAGAGCCCAGATCTCTGGAGGCCCATCGGGGCCCAGGCGAACGTACCGGGGATCACTTGTCTTTTACCCAGCTCCACCTGCAGGGGGTCCCGCGAGAGCGAGGTGTCGATGATCCGCCCATCCTCCAGGCTGCCCTGCGGGGGGACATTGACACACGCGGGTAGCCCCCAGCCCGGGCACCCAGGCACAGGGCCCTGTGGCAGGGAAGCTGCTGAACCCCTGACGCACACAAAGGGCCCTGCCCCGGAGACACCGGCACCATCCCTAGGCCTCCCCGGGGGGCAGCGGGGACGAGTGGGCACCGCAGGGCGGGACGCAGACGTGGCAAAGGTGGCAGAAGGGCTGGAGTTCTGCCTTCTGCCGCTCCTGGGAAGGGGGCACAACTTGCAGAAACCCCCCCCCCCACCGATACAGGGGCACTGTCCCGTCGTCCCCCCCCACACACAGGGGCACTGTCCCGTTTCCCCCTCCAAGACACAGGGGCCTGTCCCCCTGCCATCCCCACGCCCCACAATGTCCTCCCCCCACAAGAGACTGGTGCACTGTCCCGTTCCCACCCCCCGCCAAGACGCAGGGGCACTCCCGCCAACCCCCTCCGCCATGTCCTGGAGACGGGGGTGGTTCACTTCCCCTGCCCCAGCCGGGAGGGGGAGGGGCTCAGTCACATCCCGCCCCCCCCCCCGGGCACCGCCACGTGCGGAGCTCGGCGGCGCCCTCCCGCGGCCGGCCCCGCCCCGGGAGGGAGGGAGGAGCCGCCCCCCCCCGTGCTGACGTGTCCTGCGGCTCCCCCCGCGCCCCCCCCTTACCGTGTAGTGAATCTGCACCGTGTCCCCCAGCGCCGAGCGCGCCGCGCAGTCCTCGGGGGGCGCCACCTGCGGGGCGAGAGCAAAGTGGGGGGGGTCACAGCTCCGGCCCCGGGGTCCCCCCCGTCTCTCCCCGCCCCCCGCGGGCTCAGACACGAGCCCAGCGCCCCGCTCCGCTCCCTCACCAGGGTCTCCAGCTGCGGCGCGCGGGGCGGGGTGTCCCCGCCGCTCTCCCCCCGCGCCCCGCGCCCCAGCAGCACCAGCAGGAGGGCGGCCAGGGGGCGCGGCAGCATGGTCAGCGTGGAGCCTGCCCGGGAGCCGCCGGGCCGCGCAGTGTGTGCGTGGGGGGGCCGCTAGCGCCGCCTGGTGCCCTCCAGGCCGGGGACTTCATGGCCCCCCCGGCAGCTCCGCCCCCGGCCCAGCCCAGGGACACGTGCGAGGTGAGGCCGCCCCCCCCGCGCACTAACACTGACGTGGAATGTCAACACACCCGCCAGTCCCGGCCCTCACCCTGGCGTCGGGCCCGGAGTCAGGGCCACACAGGAGCCCTGGGGCTAGGCCGGGCAGCAAGACACCTTGCGGGGGTCTGGCTCCAAACTCGGGGTCACTGTGTGTGGGGGGGGAGTTGTGAGGATGGGGAGCCAGACACACACCTGACACATGCACGCCTAGCACACCTAACGCACACACGCACACCTGGCTCACCTGACACACACGTCTGGCACACTTAACACACACACGCTCACCTGGCACACGAACACCTGGCTCACCTAACACACGCACGCCTGGCACACCTAACGCACACACCTAACACACACACACCTGGCTCACCTAACGCACACACGCACACCTGGCTCACCTGACACACACATCTGGCACACTTAACACACACACGCTCACCTGGCACACGAACACCTGGCTCACCTAACACACGCACAGCTGGCTCACCTAACACACGCTCGCCTGGCACACCTAACGCACACACCTAACACACACACACCTGGCTCACCTAACGCACACACGCACACCTGGCTCACCTGACACACACACCTAACACACACAGCTGG